AGATTTTAAGATTTGAAATTACCTTTTTCTTCACCGAATGTAAATAAAAAGTAGCCAAATATTCTTTTGAATGTGGAAGTGATAGTTGTGACTCTGTGATGAACAATTCGCACATACTTTAATGGTTATGCTAATTGTATTATAATATATTAAGTACAATGTTTTTTGAAACTAATATGATATCGAAACGCTACTCGTTTTCTTCATGATTTTAAAATCGTGCCAAATAGATCTCTGAGAGTCAGTCTAATGTTATCGTACTTTAATTTTATTGTGCCCAACGTGGCTATTATACAACTATTTGGCGAAAAAATCTGTAGTGTGTCGATGTCAAATTAATTCCTTTTATTTAGTGTATTTGTAAAATAAATCAACTGCTTAAGGTGAAAACAATTTCTTCGTAGGTATATACTACTCTAAGCTATAATTTGTAGAGATTTTTCAAGGTTTCTTACACAAGATCAAAATAAATTGCAATTAAAGGAAAATAAGCATATCTTAAGTCAATTTTATAAAGTTTACACACATAAAAAGATTTTCCTGTGTATCATACCTTTTATCGGAATAACTGAATTTACTCCACAAAAAGCCATAATAATAAGTTGTATATTATTAAGAAAAGTGTTAATATTTTTTATTGAAATACACATATATTCAACAAAGATATTATGTATAAATAATATAATTTGATATATTTATATTATGAATGCGTTTAGAAGATAACAATTTTATTAATAACTGAACATCATGCAAGAATCATTTAAAAAATTATTTTCTTCAAACAAGGTAAGTATTTATGTCATTGTGTATGCCAAGTATTTTCTTTTCTGTTTAAAAATATTAAAAGAAAATTTTCTTTAAATAGTACAACTACAAGAGTTCCTTTTCTTTCTAATGCAGTTTACAAGAGCATGAAGTAAATTTATTTAAGGTGTAATATTAAAATTTATCCATTTCATATTACTGATATGCTGCTAATGATTTTATTAATAGGGGTTAATTATCTTATATTTGCATTAAATTCAATTTAATTTACTTTCTTTCGTAATAATATTGGATAACTGTTTCCTTTTTTAGCTGTTGTGTATATATGAATTCAATAAACTAAGATAATTAATAAATAAAAACATAAAAAGTTTAATTTATAAGTTTTCTTAATTTAAAATTATTCACAGTATATCACTATTGTGACAATTTTCTTTTAAAGGTGTCAGTTCTAAATGCACTTGATTTATGTTTGCTTTGAATTTTAAAAAAATTGTCGAAACGATTTGTATTTCCGAAATTGATAATATTTGTCGTCGTAAAAGAAAGAATAATTTAAGAATAAAAACGAATGAATAGAGAAATTGTTAATAATGTTATTTAGCAACTCAGCTCAAAAATATCGTTATATCATAAAATAAACATGAAAGATATTTTTTTCTAAAATGTCAAACTCATTCAAGTACTGATGTGTATTTTAAAAATTACACAACGCGCGCTCAATGTAACATTCTAATATACTCCGCTGGCATAAATAATACTAAAACTTTAGTTTAACCTTAATTATTCCTTGAATTTTGTGAATAAAGTTCATATTTTTTAAATAAATTATAGTGCTAAACCTATCAAATATTTTTTTATTGGAAAAGTGTAGATTTTACGAATACAGATGTGTGTTTATGCAAGCTCGCTCAGTTGTCTTTTTTGAAAACCTGAAACATGTAAAACTGGTTTCTTTGCAGTACAAATTATTTTGCAGCGAAAACACCAAGTGGAATTATGAAGTCCAAACAAGCTTTCTCTCTCGACACCACTCTTATGGTAGAGATAGGAAAACAACTATTTCTTATTTTTAGCAGCCTTAATACTGCAAGATTAAATATTTCACAGGAATTTATTTTCAGTCGCTAAGAAAATTTTAATTATTTGAGATGCTCTCATTCCTTTTTTAGTCGATGGAAAATGAAATATTTTCTTAATAAGGAAAAAAAAATTGATAATCGATTATTATTTGTGTTTGAGAGCATTCCTTCTATATGGCCTACTTCTACAACAGTGATGAGCAAGACTTTTTGGGAGTGGGTCAAAACTCTATTTAATTTTCGGCAAGCCAATATTATAAGACACGCAAAAAAAAATAAAGATTTTCAAAAAATTAAGACAAATATGCACATTTTATTTATTATTCTATTTATTTATTATATTATAATTATTTATAAATATTTAATTAAGTAATCAGCAGAATAAAGACTTTTTTTTTAATTTTTTATAATAAGAAGAGCATTATTTACTGAGCTCAAGAAACACAGTAAACAACAAAGCTAAATACTTCCTAAAGTAAATTTGTAATATACTGATTAGAATAACATGTTTATTTAAAAGTATTTTGAAATGCTGGTATTTAAAGCTTTAAAAATTTACTCACACTTAAATAAACAGATTTTTTTATACATATATAAAATGTGTGTGAATTTCTTACCTCCCCAAACCCAGAATTCCTCTTGCACCCCTCTGCAAGCACAAGAGACGCAGCTTTTCTATTGGATCATCTGTCACCATAAGCTTTTTCGAAGCTTTTTCTTTCATGACTTGCTCATTTCTTGTTTGAGCTGATAGCGGACGAGGCATTTTGTATGTATCAATTCACTAGTTATGTCTAGAAGAGGGGCGAAATGTAAAAAATATATATAAGTTATTTTTTCAAACAATGTAAGTTTGGTGAGTTTTACATAATAAATTAGAAAAAGGAGTTGAGGTATATGTAAAAATATAAATATTTAAAAGTTTTAAGAGAATAGTGATTAAATAATATACAGCTGATATATTTAAAAAGAGAATTCTCTAAGAATTATGGTTATTTCGTTTCGAAATATTTCACTAGAGTTTTGGAAATCAAATGAGAAAACCCAAAAACTTGTTTAAAGAAATGAGGGGAAATATACATTTTTGGATGTATTATAAATGGAGTTATTCATGTTCTGAGGTTTGGAGGCTTTTTCAATTCTTAAAATGTCAATGAATTCAAAAGATCTGAAAATATATTGATGGTTAGTTTGAAAAGAATGTATATTTGATAATTTTTTTTTTCAAAACGTAACTAAGATCCTCCAATACATAGTACATCAAAATTCACTTTACTATGTAATTTTGAGTATTTTCTGTCAATAATAAAAATGATAAATTAGAAATCAAGGTTATGAATGTTCGTAACAGTAGCTTACAGTTTTTCCCTTTACAAACAGGTGCAAAAAATTCAATAAACTACATTCAAAGTGACGATTATAATAATTAGTTACTTTTCCAAATAACCTACATTTTGAGGAATCATTCATAAAAATTATTAACACAAATTTCATGTCACTGAATTGATCACCAAAACTGTGTGTGTGTGTTATAGAGCATAGGTTTTATATATTTAAAAAATACCTTACTCATGAGAATAAAACTCTTAAGAAATGCTCTTTTTTGAGATAGAAATGTTCTTAAACCCTCCTGATATGATCAACTTTCTTCTAAATTAACATTTTCCTAAAAAAATACTTCAAATATAAGGGTTAAAAATGTAATCACACAAAGAGTTCTAGACGACAGTTACTCACAGATCCGGAAGAAATAACTAAAAAAATCAGTTACTCAGACAAACATTATTAGGTCTCTAACTCATTCTTCCAATAAGACCAATGATTTTATCACCTAATATACAAGAAATGTTTTGAGAAGAAAGAAATTATGAGAAAAAGAGAGAAACTTATGTTTCACTGTAAATTGGTGATGTGATGAAAAACATATTAAAAAATTTATATGAAGCAAAACGATTCGATTTTAATACCAAGATATGAAGAGATGCGCGTTTCAAACTTACCCCCACAGAAACCAAATAGAATATATAATAACTCTAATAATAAGGAGATTAAAATGTCATAGATAAATTAAACAACCTTGAAATAATAGCGTCAATAAATCTGAAATAACCTTGAAGTTACTACAGTAACCCATTTTTTTGCCCTTACGCTTTAAATACTATGCGAATTCAAAAGAAGTGAAGCACGAGGGGGGCAATTTGCTTACATCCGTGCAGCAACGACAGACAAAAATCTATTGGTTAATGTATTTGCGACATCGATTTGAAGAACCTTTGCGTGATTGTGGAAGTAGTTTCCGATCGCTCAATTGCAAACTTTGGTACTTCGACATTGATCCTGGCAAACACTGACACTGCGGAGTGTAATGAGTACATAGAAACGAATTTTATGGTAAGAAAATTCATTGTTACGGAATAAAATGAATAATGTATTCCAGTTCGAAATTTGAATCGATTCAAAAGAACGTCCTTCTGTGACCTACTTACCCTCCTCGCAATTAAATGAGCTAAGGGGGCAGGTTGAAGTTGTAAGATATTATTTCGTTGGGTGTTAGTGGGACAGGATGAAAGAAATGAGGTGATGATATAGGCTAATGTCCAAAAGTGTAAAAGTAACCAGTGTTAACAACTGGAACGAAATTGAGTAGGGTAAAAATAGAAATAAGTAATTGTGTGTTTCATGGCTACTCTGAATGCTAATGAGAGCAAAAGGAAACATTGCTTTGTATTCGTTAAATAATTTTTAGATCTTGAAAGCTTAAAACACGAATTAAAACATAAAGTGAAATATGTAAAACATAGAGTAAAAGAAGCATAACACAGTTGCAAAGATGTATTTTTTTTAAAAATTTCTCAGATATAGTTTTTTTTAATCTATTTCAAGTATAGCTGCTGATAAAACAATAATACCCACAGCAATTAAAGTTACTGACTACGTAAGGAACCGTGATTTTTTTTAAAAAAACATATAAATGATTTTTGAAGTTATACTTCTTTTGGGACGTTAGAGAAATAGGATGAGGGTAAATTTTTACAATGCGCGCGCACCCCGTCACGGATGCGAAAATCCTTTGTCAAGAAATATACAGAACGAGACAAATCATTCCCGCCTTCGAAATTCTCAGAAAAATATTTCTTTTCACTTCCCTGAAGAAGGGGACACCCGGGTTTGATCAGGGGACCTCCCGATCTGTAGTCGAATGCTCTACCACTGAGCTATACCCCCGCGTCAGCGAACCTTTGCTTTGCGTTCCGTAGGAATGTATACGAAAATGCTTTGTCTAGAAATATGCAGAACGGGACAGATCATTCCCGCCTTCGACCCCCTCCCCATATTATTGGTCCTATTGTTCCTGAACGGGGGTGTTTAAATTTATTTAAATCGTGATTATCTCAGATTTGGCTGGTCCGATTGACTGAAAGTTAATATCGTTCAACTCTGCTCGTGACCGCCTTTCGTCCTTGGCCCAGCTTGCCCTGCTAAAGAATTTTAGAAAGATTTTAATCTTGTTACGCCAAAGAAGTATAACTTTTTACGTGCGTACATAAGTACACACACACCTTTTTTTATATTTAGTGTTCATTGAATTAGAACGGGCATATAAAATTATTTTAAGATTCAATTACAAGCAAAAAAATATTTAAATGCAATTTTTTTTCGGGGGATGAAAAATATAATGCTATGTTTTCAAAACATTCTCTTTTTATGAAAAAAGGCTTTTGTGATAATAATATTTTGCGTTCATATAGGTAAGACCTCTCCACAGAGACTTAAATGAAAGTTTTGAAAAATTCACATATTTTCAGAATTACGATCAGTTGAAATAATTACAGGTTTTTTTATGCTAAAATATTTCTACTCCGATATATTAAAATATGAATGAATTCACTCTTAAATTACGTACCTCACACAAAAATTCTAGGTCAGACTCTCTAAAAAGTCTTAACTATATATAGACAAAATTGTATTAACGAAGAAACATTTCCCCTTAAAGGAAAATGTTTTGAAAATACGTCATTTTTCTCCATTTTTTATGAAAAAACTGAATTTAAATAATTTTTTATTGTAATTATAATCTTAAAACAATTTTACATGTATATTATAATTCAATTGATACTAAATATAAAATTATATATATATTCATTAATACGCTTTTGAAAAATCATAGTTCCGAACATAGTAAGTCGCCTTAAGTATAAAAAAGTACCTTAATTAAATTCTTAAGCATTTACTTATATTTCTAAATAAAGCTTCTCTTTAACTCTATTTATTCTTTTCTAAAAAAGTAAAACTATCTTCTTTATAAGTGTATTAAAACATAATATGATTTTATTTTACAGAAAAAAAAATTCGTTGCAATAATAATAGAAACAACATAAAAAAGTTTCCTTGATTCTAAAAAATTCAAATTTGAAAGTTGTGTAGACAACGATTTTAGTTACAAAAGTGTAAATAGACAGAGGTTCAAAATTTCAAGGACCGTCGCCAATGGCCTAGCATTGATCCAGAGTGCAACGTTAATGAAAAATCAAATTATATTAAAGAGAAAAGTGGAATTAATGTAAAATTACCATCACAAATTCAAAATTGAAGGTCAGAACGGAGTAACGGAAAGTAAATGATACTCAAAAGAATGCTATATCAAAATATATATCATAATAATAATAAGCTTACTTAACTTTAATACATATTTCTTCTTTATACGTATTAATTATGAAATACAGGATATTAATAAAATTGAAATTGAAACTAACTAAAATAATTCAAACTAATAACTAACTATTCAATAATTAACAACGATGAACTTGAACTGTGTTTTAGTTTTGTTGAACCATGTATTGAACTTAATATTACCCCATCCGAAGATATTATTTATGAACTTGGCACGAGGTCCTGAAAAAGGGAATAAAATATTGATCACAGATTTAGTATTTGGGCATTCTTCCAAAGTGGGGAGTTTTTGGCAGTGTTTGGTAAAAAATGTTTATTCATTAGAGGAGTGATTTAAAATAATGAAATAAGCCTAAAAGAATTCAGTTAAAGCTTTTGAGTAATCCCATAAAAAAAGTTTCTTATCAAATAAAGTTAATTCAAAGATAAACTTCGGCCTATTTTGTTGAATATCAATTTAATAAATAATATTTTTGTTTGGTTTTATTTTGAAGTACCAAACAATAGGCATCATATGTCTCTTTTCATGTCTACTAAAAACCAAATATTAAAATACCATTTTAATTAATTTTGTAAAGATAAAAAATATTTTAAAGTTGCTTGAGTTTCACTTTTTGTCATTATTATGAAATATTCACTTACATGAGACGCTTACGAATTGGAAATTATTTAAATTCAGATATAGCTACAATTTTTAAAACAAAAAAAATATCATTAAAAAACGTAGTGCAATATACAAATGTAAGCATAACTTCTTAATAATTATAACAAAAACAGATTTGATTATGAAGAATTCCATAAAACTGTGTACAAATAATTACTTATATCTGCTGCATAGCATTGTTTAATTATCGATATGTTTATAATCTACACCAGAGGTCGCCAAAGTGGTGGTCCGTGGACCACTAGTGGTCCGCGAGAAAATTTCGCTGGTCCCCAAAAAATGTGGAATATACTTACTCATCATGAAAATTTGCAGCGAAAATTCAGGATAATAATTTAAGTATGCATCTAAAAGAAAGCCTCATCGACTTATGGTCCGACACAATTCTCTAAATTTCATTCTTCCTAATCAAGAGCTCAGTTTTGGCTTTCCATAAAAAGTGAATACCCTTTTAAAAACAGACGATGAAAATTCTGATTCAGTTCTCCACAACTTATTTATGTGAAAAGGCTTTTTTATCTGTCAGAGCCATCAAAACATGGTACCGATCTCTCCTCGAAATAAATGCATTCTCCCTCTTGCGGTAACTCCATTGGATCCAAATATCCATAATCTTATTTCAAGTAAGCAGGAACGTACTATATCACACTAGGAATGTATAATGCTAAAAGTTTGATATACTTACGTCATTTTTTAATTGTTTTGTTTTTACAGTTTTTTATTTTGTGTATTTTATTATGTTTTATTAATAAAGCTTTAAAAATTTGGTTACAATTAATAGTTTCATTTTATTAACTAGGAGCATTTTATGTGTTCTTAGATCATAATTTTTTCTATAAATATATTTAACACAAAAAATCCTATTAGTGGTCCGCGGGATTTAAATTATGAATTTACTGGTCCGCGAGGTCAAAACGTTTGACGACCGCTGATCTACACCATTTTAATGAATATTAACCCTTTATTAGTCCGTGGTAAATATATTTACCACCAAATTCATCTATCTAATCTCTTTATCAGTCATCTTCATCCGGCTAATTTACAATTCCTTTTACATATTGCAGTATTTCCAAACATGATTCATAAATTTGTTGGGTTTGCTATGTGCTGATCTCTGTTTTCGTTAACTTCATTGGAAATATATATATAATTCGTAGAAAATCTTAATTTCATCATCATTATCTAAGAATATAAAATATATTTCTAATTCACTATTCCTTTTGTAGGTTGCACTGCATACAAAATATATTTCAGAAATTTCAAGTGTAAAAGGTAAACGGAAACAAAAGTTATGTAAATGCCCATCAATAGCACACAGTGGTTTGTGGTCAACATATTCCTCAATATAAAGGGGTTTTAAAAATCTGTTTTTTGGTTCCCCCCCTTGGGGAAAATTAAAATTCATGGGGAAAAGGGGGTTTTAAAGTGACGCCTGTGGGTTTGCGTGTTTTAAAGGACCAAAAGAGGTGAAAAGGGTAATTTGGCTCTTTTTCCCCAATTAAAAAATCAAATAATTTAACCTAGTAAGAAAAAATTAAATTTCCCTTTTTTTAAAAAGCAATCTTGTCCCCAAAATTTTTAAAATTTTCCTTACAAAAAAAATAGCCCGGTAAAGGATTAACTCTAATAATGACCCCTAATTTATACTATGTCCTTTTCTAAGATGCTGAATTTCTATTGCAGGTGGGAAAAAAAGGTTTATTGATTTTCATCTTTTTTTAGCTTTAAATTTTTTTAAAATTTCGTTTTTGGTGGTATTATTCGTCGTTTTCCAATTAAAACACACACCTCCCATTGTTTTTTAACTTGATCGATAAATTCGAAATAATATAAAGTAGAACGTAGCAAACAACAATCTCCAACTTTGGAAAAACGATATCGTATCATTAAAAGGGCTTTCTTTCCCCACGCAAAAGGGGTTCAAAAATAAAATGGGGGATTCCCTTTTGTCCCTGATCAAAAGAAACGTAAAATTTTTGGTCCCGGTTATTTAGATATTATCAAGAAAAAAGGCTTTACAGATTTTAATTTTGTAAATGAATCGGGGAAATTCTTATTTCCTGATATTATGCTATCGAATCTTGACGCAACAGTCCAGAAAAACTTTTTTTGAAATTAATAAGGGGTTTTTTCCCCTTATCGGTCAATATCCCTTTTTGGAATTAAAAAAAAATATAAAATATATAAAAATATAAAAATATATAGAATTAAAATCTAAGTAATAAGTTTTATAATCAAAAACAGAGCTACATTAAAATAAAATGTGAATAAATTTGATTTAAAAGATTTTGAGATTTTGAATCCACATTTTGGCTTTATTTAACAATCTTATTTCAAAAAGCAATATTTATATTTAAAATTATTGAATTTACTTTTTATAACGGAAGCTAGTATTTAATGTATAATATTAATATTTCTATTACATTAAAGCATGAAATATAGTTAGAAATCTCTTTCATACAATCATCTCTCGCACATAGAGCAATTTTCACCAATTTCTCTTATGACAGATTTTCTTTAAAAAAAAAATCATTTTATAATTAATTTTTGCAGTACAATAAGCATATATTTACTTTACTTAAATACACAATCAAGTAGTTTAATTGTTTTTGCTAAAACACATCTTTAACAAATGTGCATTTCATTAGACAGTAAAAGTTTTTATAAATTCATTGAAAATAATTTCCCAATTTTGTTTACAAAAGAAATTCATAATTTGAAACGTAACTAAGCGGAATAGTTTACAATAACAGAATCTATTTAAAGTTCATACCTTGAACAAACTATACTTTTGCAATAACGCTATTTAAAACTATTTTTATAAGTTGTTTTTTAAAGAATATATACCAAAATTCACGCTTCGAAAATAAAATAATTTTTTTCTGGCTTT